CTGGGTAAGACCAAAGAAGGCTAAATGTATGCTGTTTTATATGCCACAATATCCGAGACCTTGTACCTCTGTGTTGCATTCCTTTCCTTCTTTCCTGGACTTTTGACAGTCTATCCAGGTATCTGAACATGCCAGTCACTTCTCAGACTGTGTGCAGTATGTGTGGATGTGTGGTATTCCAGAAGAGAGATGGTAGTAGTGTGAGTATGTGATCCCAACAGAAAGTAGGTGAATCTGGGAGGAAGAAGAACAGAAACTGATGTCCAGCTCCCCTCACCCATAGGCACAGCCTTCATCCTGCACCAACCTTAGGTGGTCCACATTTGAGTTTATTAAGGAAATGGCTTTCCTTACTCCAAGGATGCCTGGGCTCCTGAGCAATGATCAAGAGTCAAATTATGATGAGAAATCATGATTATAAAGCACACCTCTAAGCTGGGAGCTGGTGGCTCATGCCTGTAATCCTAGCTACTCAGGAGCTGAGATCTGAGGATTGCGGTTCAAAGCCAGCCCTGGTAGGAAAGTCCGTGAAACTCTTATCTTCAATAAACCACCAGAAAACCACAAGTGGCGCTGTAGCTCATGTGGTAGAGCACTAGTCTTGAGCTGAAGAGCTGAGGGACAGCACTCAGGGCCAGAGTTCAAGCCCCACGACTGACCCCCCCCAAAAAAAGTACACCTCTAAACCAATATTTAAAATGTTTTGTGAGGAGCTGGGAATGTTGCTCAGTGAATATAGAGAACACTTCCATGAGTTACATGAACCAGTAGCCTAAGACTGATTCCCAGCACAGAAAAGAGCTACAAGTAAATTTGCATGCAACTGCTCAGATATCTAGTTAACTATACAGAAAGTGAAATCCAGTTTTTTTAATTTGTTTCTCTTTGCTATAGAATAAATGTTTCAAATAGTGCTGGTTGGCTTCCTTCAGATTATTTATATTTATATGAGTAAATATGCTACCATACACTGTGACCTGCGCCCACCGACACCACTTCTGGTCATTCTCTCTAGAACAAGAATGCATTTCCTAAGACTGTCTGGAGAGGCCAGGCATTGCTTAGCCATGCTTGGGAGGAAGTTGTTCCTCAAATGGGAAACAGATACTGATGGGGGTTTCAACACCCTCAGAGTGTTGGCCACTAAACAGTTTTGATTCTTAGTAAGTTTTGAGTTGTCTCTGCTGAGAGGGCAGACCAATGGGACCACTAGAGCAGCCTGTGGGTGTGGAGGGAGAGGGGGAGTGGACTGGGAAAACTGGGGAGTAAGAAAACTGAGCAGAGAGGTTGCAATTGTGTCCGCTTGAAGACTCAAATTAAGTTCACTTTATTGTCACAAAAATTATATTTTGTGAGATGGCACTCCTCTGCTGCTGCCATTTTGTATATTAAATTCCAGTTCTGTTCAATTGGGGTTATCAACAAACAACAGATTCTTAAACTTAAGCTGTCAGGGCTGGTTAAACGGCTGATTTCTATCCATTATCACATCCCCTGCACTGAGTCTCTAGCACAGAGCTGGGAATGTGCCTGGCTAACCTGTCCTGCAGCTGACCAGGTTGCAGGTGGTCTGTACTCCAACCTGAGAGCTGCTCCTGAGGACAGTGAGATTTTAGAGAAGAAAGAACCCCCTAAGGGTGACCTGATGCTGGAATCAAAGTGGGGGAGCCTCTAGGAAAGGGGAAAGGAGAAGGGAAATGACTTAACATTATGCGGTTCTCCTTCTGAGCACTCTGTGGTGGAATTAATCCTTGGAGAGAACTGTTCTTAGTCTTCTATAAGAAGGGCCAAGCGGGTCTCTTGTTCCCTTCTGTCTCTCCTGCTAACCTGTCTGCATCCTTCCCTTTTTCCTTCAGTGTCCCCTTCCCGGGGCCCTGTTGGGGCATTGTATCTCTCCAAACTGCAGGGCCCCAGAGCCTCCTTGCCTCTCCACAAGTCCAAAGACAGGAAGATGACTGTTGTCTGCATCCCAAGGACCACTGGTGGTTGTCACCAGGCTAAGAAATCCCAGGGGGGAGGTGGCAGGCTGGAACAGAAGCTGGAGTTTCCACGAAAGCCCTGAGCAAGCAAATAACAAATGGCTCTAGATCTCCCTTCATGAATCCACCAGGGTGAGGAAAGGGGTGGGGGGGGGCCCCTCGGGGGCTCAGCTGCTTAGTAGGACAGAACTTGACCCAGAATCAAAACTCTCAACCCATATCGTCTGGGAATGCCAGCGGTGCTCCCGAAAGTGTGGACCACCACGACACGGAGGAGGGGAGACAGGGGTCCCTGGACAGGGGCACACAGCAACCCTCTCCCGTTCCCCTCCACTAGTCAACGCAAAGCAGGTGACAGGGCCTCTGACCCCCCCCCGGGGACCCCAGAACCACTGGTTACATCCACCACCCTTGAGGAGTCCCTGCGACCCGCATGTTTCCTAATCTCGTTCTTTCCTTCAACAACGGGAAAGTCAGAGAAGGATCTGAGGTTGAGAGATTCCCAGAAGCAGCTCGGTGTACACAAAGCACCCTTGGGTGGACTCTGTGTCCATTTTGCGACCCCGTCCACCACACTGCGACTCGCCCTCCCGGGTTGCTGGAGAAGACGGCAGATCGCCCCCCCCCTCCCCAACCTTTCCTCTGCGCCCCTCACCATCATCTGGGAAGAAGAGCACCAGGAAGCGCTGTGGGTCCCCGGGCTCCTGGCGGACCTCACACTCGCCGCCTCCGGATCTCTTCGGGCTCTGGAAGTACTTCTGCAGCTTGACAGTTAAGTTCTTGGGGGGCTGGGGACCCCAGGACCCCTCCACCAGCAGCGGGAAGGGGCCCGCGCCAGCCATCCTCGGTTGGGTGCCTCTGCTCCGACTGCCGGACCCGGAAAGCGCCTTTTGCCCCTTTCGCTTTCGTTTCCAGGAAACTCCATCTGGCCTTTAGTTTCGGTCTGGGGCTCAGCGGCTTCAGGATTCCGATAGTTCCACCAACTCCCTCCCTTCCCCCACCCCAATTCCCCACCGTCATCCCTGGCCCCAGCAAAGATGCGCGAACCCTCTGGGGCTGGCATCGGCCCTCCCTCCACCTGTGCCGACCCAAGCAGACGCTCGAACAGAGTCATTCCAGTTTTCTTCCAAGTCGTCTTTGGTTGTTGCTGTTGTTAACAAGAGATTTTTTTAAAAAAGTGATTCTTAAACTGTGATCTTCATGGCTTTGGCCTCCCACTTATTCAACCATAGATGGATGGATCCCAGCTTTGCGTTCTGCCATTGAGCTGGTTTTCCTGGATCGTCAAGGCTGGATGTTTGCCAATGTCAGGGAAATGAGACCCTCGGGGGGTTTGGGTGGTACACTTCACCAGTGTCTTATCATCTGGATGGATCCGCCCAAATCCTTCTCACAGAGTTCCCGCAAGGGCTAGGGCAAAGGCAGGCACAGGGAGTTGGGCCAGGAGCCAGTGGTGCCCTGGGACAGAAAGCAGGAGGCTCCTGAAACTAGGGATGAGGCCCTTCACCCAGGGTGCGAGCCTGCAGGGCTGGGCACAGCATCAGTGCCACTTGGGCCTTAGAGTTGACCGAGATAACCTTGAGGGCTGGGAATTGGAGAGGACTCCATGGTGTGATTGCTCTGTTCAGCTCCATCTGGTCAGTCCTGGTGGGTGAAGTGGAGTCAGAGACCAGCCATATGATAGCCGAAGGGCCTGGGACCAAAGGAGACTAGAGAGGACCAGGGTGCTGGCCGAGGACGATGAGGACATGATGGAGTCTAAATTGGTACTGAAGCCTGTGAGCCAGAAGCAAAGGAAACACTCAAGATGTCTCACTGCACTATTACCTATGGGACACACAGGGGAGTGAATGGCTGGATAACAGTTGTCAGGATCCTAGGGAGGCCAGACAGAGTGGGAGAGAGAGACTGAAAAGCGTGTATTCTCCAGGTGGGGAGTGTTTCCGGTGGCAGAGGGGCCTTATGCTTCCTTCCAGCGTTAGATATCTCCAGTCGGAGCAGAGTGTGTTGACATGCTGGAGCCCTGGCAGCCCTATCCGCTGAAGAGGAGGGAAGAAAGCCAGGGCACTGGCCTGAGGACTGGAAGAGGGAAAGAAGCAGAGTCAGCAAGTACAGCGGGCAGTTCCCAGAAGAGTTGGCTGGGGTGGGGGTGGGGGAGGGGGTGGGGGGAGGGGCTGTGTGCAGGGGAGTGTAGGAGCTAGCAGCCGCTGGGGATGGGAGGGGGGAGGTGTCACAGGATCAGATGATGTTATATTTGTTTCCTGGATTAAATATTTTTAAGATAGGAAGGTCTCTGGCAAGAGTAAACTTTGGTAGGAGGACAGGAGGATGACAGGAGAAAGTGGAAGTCTTTCTTTGGTGGCATATGTCGAAAGAGGACAGTTCCAAATCATCAGGGGCAAGCCAGAGAGAGAGAGAGAGAGAGAGAGGAAGAGAGAGGAAGAAGGAGAGAGAGAATGGGAGAGGGAGAGAGAGAAGGAGAGGAAGAGGGAAAGGGAGAGGGAGAGAGATTGAGCGCACACAGCAGCCTGTCCATTGTACTTGGCAGTGGGCGATTATCCCTACGGATTCTGTAGGAGGGTGAGGTGTCAGAGCCTGCCAGTGTCAGAGGTTCTTTCACCTCTAGATCTTGCATTTCATGTCTTAATCACAATGAAGCTGAATTTTAAGATGAAGAAAGTCAACTACTGTATGGGCCAAAGACATTTCCTGAGCTTTTATACTTTTGGTATAATAGAGTTGAAGCACCTTCAATATTCTACCAGCAGATGGCGCTGGTGATCTTCTCTAAACCACCCTGGACCCCTGGAGGGCAAGTGCAGAAAACACAGCAGGTAGATCCCAGCCCTCAGCTAAACAACGTGATTGTTACAAGGCCTGGTTCCTGTTTCACCCCCCCCCCCAAACACCGGGGGAAATCAGCAATTCCAATCCCTCAGTATTTGGAGGTCCAGAACTGGGAAGTTAGTTTTCTTTTTCTTTACATCATCAGTTGATAAGAAAAAAAGGATCAGATTTATTTTCATCTTTCAAAAGAAAATCTTTATTTAGGTAAGTTGTCAGTGTCCATTTCTGGATGCCTTACAAAGACATTATTCATTATTACACGTTAATTATTGCTGAGTGCTTGGATAGGAGCTTCCAGGGGATCTGATAGCAAGTATTAAAATCCACAGAAGGTTCTGAAGGAAAGCATTGAGTTTCAGTCTCTATAGCACTTTGTCTTCTGGGTTTTTCTTTTGCATTATTCACTTGAGCCCACTCCCACCACAGCGTACTCATCCTCTCTCAATTCTACTTTCTTTTGCATCTTCCCTCTGAAAGTTTTTTTTCCTCCTTAGAAAGCTAGTACCCCGCCATCCAGGGAAGAGGAGCTTTGTGTGGGAGTAGCCTTCAACAAAGCGTGTCCATGTTCTTGGTTACTCTTCCACCGAATAGCCAATATTTGTACAACAGTGAATATTTGTTCAATTAATGTTTGCACTTTAGGATTGAACTTAACTTTGTCTACTTCATCAACATCTTCCCTTTCAGTTTGTCTGCAAACTTCTGTTGTCTAGTATAAATCTCTCTTTGTACCATGCAGAGTCCCCTTTATGGAAGGGTGTCTTGACTTAACTGTTGGAAGTGCGATTTGCTCAACCTGTTCAGACTTGCTCACAGCCATCTTGCCCAGGCCATACCTTTCGTAGGACAGCCCCAGCCAATGGAAGGGAAGCATAGAGGCTTAACCTATCCTTACTAGTATAATACAGTTCCTACAGGTTTTTAATCCTGTGAGCTGAGCAACCCATGGCATTTCTCTGAGGCTGTTGTGAGGCCTGCATTACAGCTTGACCTCTTTGACCAATTCTGCTTCCTCTCTCTCCCTTCCATAGGTTTCAACTTAACATCCTGCACATTGCATTTCATGTTGCAAGCCAAGCCCTGGAGAAGACAATCTGTGGTATACATGGGTGTTACCTTTTAACTCTATGGGATGAGGGCAGGTCACTGATTAGGAACAGGTGATGTTTGTTCAATCTGTGTCTTTCTCAGCTCAACCATGAGCACCTTCCTCGAACTGTCCTTCCTCCTTGTGATTCCAAGTTAACATGAAGATAATATATCAATCAATATGATTGATCAAGATCAACCCTAAAGTACAGATATGAATTATTACACAAATATTATCTGTGGTTGTGAAGTAGAAGAACCAGGAATCAAGGCTGGCTGATATTCTACCTCTCATCAATCAAAAAGTACATCCTAAAAAGCTTTGCTTTGTGGAAGAGATTCTGGTTCTGTAAGTTGGTGATCTCCCTAAATTAAAATAAATTCTATCTTCATCTTACATATAAACTTCTTTCTTAAAGTCTATAGTCTGTCAGTGATTGGAAGTCATGAACAAAAATAAATTTTAGTATTAATGATCTCATTATGTACCAGGCAATAATGATTTTCCTTTTTAAAAAATTGGCATGAATTAAATTGTACAAAGCAGAGGTTTTCTTACTGCTATTTCCATACACACATAGAGTGTTGTTTGATTATATTCCACCTCCTCTGTGGCTGTTTCTTGTTCCCCTTCCTCATCATGTATTCCTTCTCCCCTCCCCTCCCATCTCTTTCCCTTCTCCCTATTATCATGACCTTCTTTGTATTTTGTTTCATTTTCCCTTAGCTTTCACAAGTGAGAAAAAAAGTGGCATTTGTCTTTAAAGGACCAGCTTACTTCACTTAAAATGATTTGATGTTAGAGAAAAACAGAACAACTGAACTTTGTCTTATAACCAGATAGGTGACTGTGAACAGTATTTTTTGGGAAGGAAGAAAAATGTTATCGTCTGAAAGTAATAAGGTATTCTGGGTATGCTTGGTAGTCATAAAATACCACATATAAACTTGGATTGTGAACATTATCTACAACAGTGTCATAAAGTTCAGTAGGAGCATGAGGGTCCTTGGGCGGAGGCACAATGCTTGTCTGAGATCCAACTGTATAGTCTCCAGTGAGTACACGTGCAAAATACATGTGCTTTTTCCCATTTTCATCTGGTTTGGAGTACCTGTCATCGGCAGAATAATTGGCATGGACAGCAAAATAGGTTCCCTTTCCGTAGCTCACAGCTGTGAAGAGAAAAACAAATCATTTTAAAGAATTCCAGCATAGTATACAATTTGACATGGTTGGCCCACTTTGTCAAATAATGTAAGAAGAATATTCAGTTAAATATTTAGAGTGTGTACTTTAAGAAATGGAGGGACAAGCCGGGCGCTAGTGGCTCACGCCTGTAATCCTAGCTACTCAGGAGGCTGAGATCTGAGGATCGCGGTTCAAAGCCAGCCCGGGCA